CAAAAGACTAAATAGAATCCATCACCACACCCGTATGCCTGATCACCCCTTTCGCTCTCCCCCCACAGCCTTCCCCTCTGGTGACCACCAATCCAATCTCTGTCTCCATGTGTTTGTTTGTTGTTGTTTTTATCTTCTATTTGTGAGTGAGAGCCTACAGTATTTGACTTTCTCCCTCTGCCTTATTTCACTCAGCATAATACCCTCAAGGTCCATCCATGTTGTCACAAATGGCCGGATTTCATCGTTTCTTATGGCTGAGTAGTATCCCTTGTGTATGAATACCACCTCTTCTTTATCCATTCATCCCTTGATGGGCGGCTAGGTTGCTTCCACGTCTTGGCTATTGTGAATAATGCTGCATGAACATAGGGCTGCGTGTATCTTTATGCCTTTGCGTTTTCAAGTTCTTTGGATAAATACCCAGCAGTGGAATAGCTGGATCATATAGCAGGTATGTTCTTAATTTTCTGAGGATACTCCATACTGCTTTCCATAGCGGCTGCACCAGTTTGCACTCCCACCAGCAGTGTACAAGGGTTCCTTTCTCTCCACATCCTCTCCAACACTTGTTCTTTCCTGTCTTGTTAATTATAGCCATTCTGACGGGAGTGAATGATATCTCATCGTAGTTTTGATTGCATTTCCCTGATAGTGATGTTGAGCATCTTTGCATGTGCCTGTTGGCCATCTGTATATCTTTTCTGGTGGAATGTCTATTCATATCTTTTGCCCATTTTTTAATTGGGTTGTTAGTTTTTATGTTGTTGCGGTGTATTAGTTCTTTATATATTTTGGAGATTAACCCCTTATCAGACATATGATTTGCGAATATCTTCTCCCAATTGTTAGGTTGACTTTTCATTTTGTTGATGGCTCCCTTTGCTGTGCAGAAGCTTTTTAGTTTGATGTGGTGCCATTTGTTTATTTTTTCTATTGGTTCCCTTGCTCAGTCAGACACGGCACTTGAAAATATGCTGCTGAGACGGATGTCATAGAGTGCTGTCTGTGTTTTCTTCTAGAAGTAATGGTTTCAGGTCTTGCATTCAAGTCTTTAATCCATTCTGAGCTAATTTTTGTGCATGGTGTAAGAGAATGGTCTACTTTCATCCTTTTGCATGTGGCTGTCCAGTTTTCCTAACACCGTTTGTTGAAGAGACTCTCCTTTCTCCATTGTGTGCGCTTGGCTCCCTTGTTGAAAATTAGCCATCCGTAGACATGCCCAGTTTACTTTTTAAAGGATGCTCTTTCCTCGTCTCCAAGTTGGAGCACAATTTGTCACCTTTAGAGCCAATTGTGCTTAAAGGCTTATGAGATAGTAGGAAATACGTGTTGTTGTCTCCCCACCTCTTGACACCGTTGGAATTTCCCGGGTGACACGAGTGTCTTGTTCTAATGTGGGGACTCTGGGTGGGCTCCCTAATGAGGTCTGGTCACCAGAAAGACCAAGCCATGATTCGAAGCTTGGAATTTACAGCCCTGACCCTGCCCCTCCCAATTCTCTTAAGAGGGGAGAAGGGCTCAAAATGGAGTCAATGATCGATCTTGCCTCCATGATGAACCTCTATAAAAATCCCAATAGTGTGGGTTCAGGCAGCTTCCGGGTTTGTGAAGGGGTGGAGGTGGAGGGAGGGTGCTGAGCCTGGACTGGGCATGGAAGCTCCACGCCTTCCATCTGGATGTGCGTCTGCATCCTTCATCACTTCCTGCACATAAGTAATGTTTCCCGGAGTTCTGCGAGCCGCTCTAGCAAATTGATGAAAGCCAAGGAGGGGTCCTTGGAACCTCTGATCTTTAGCCTGTTGGTCACAAGCACAGGTGACAACCTAGGCTCGTGATTGGCCTCTGAAGTGTGTGTTGGGGAGGTTGGGGGCCTCCTGGTCCTGAGCCCTTACCTGTGGGATCTGACGCTATCTCCGGGTACATGGTGTCAGAACTGAGTTAACGTGTAGGACACTCCGCTGGTGTCGCAGAGAACTGCTTCGTGTGGGGCAAACCTCCGCACGTGGGTGAGCAGAAGTCAGCAGCGAAGTGTTTCTGAGGAGGCGGAGGAGACACCCACAGGGGACAACTCGCAGGAGGGAAGGACTGGGTTGTTCCCAACACAGAAGAGGAAAAACTGTGCTTACGAGGCTTCGTCAGCCCGGCCGTCCTTCCGGTTACCCCGGTTCTATCTGCCGTCTTACGATTCTGCACTTCGAGAAGCTCTTCTTTTTGGCTTTGTTCTCACGGGGTGGGGCCGCGTTAGGAGTCGCATCTGAGATGCTGCTGCGTGTACGCATCGCAGGATTAGTGGGGTGGCCCTTCAGGAACTGTCCTTGGCGGCTCAGACAGTCCCTGGGTTGTGTCGGTTCCGAGAGGAGCTGCCACGCTCTGCTCCGCCGCCGGCACGCGGTGGGCGCGTCTGGACTGTTTCTGCCCAGGAAATGTCTGTTCTCCAGGCCTTGGGAGCACCATTTTCACCCCATATTGAAAGGAAACTGGAGTGAATTCCCGGAAACTTCCCTCTCCTGGAGAAATAGCACGTAAGGCTTCCAGTTCCATCTGCGGGTCCTTCTTAGCACATGTCACATCCTTGACAGTTGGTGGCCACGGCAGGTTGGGTGCCCGGGAGAGTGGGGAGAAACAGACTAAATCATCTCCTTTAAAAGGTCATTTTCTCCCTGTCACTGCACGCGGAGCTGAAAGTGACCTGTGAATGTTAGACTTCTCCCCGGCACCCTCGCTAAGCCGGTTACAAGTGTTAATAATGTGTCCTTAGCACTTGGGCATTTCTCCCTACCGATCTTGCCCTCTAACCACGCAGTGTCGATTCTCCCCTTTGCAGAGCGTTTACCCGTTTCCTGTCCCCGCTGCAGCGCTGGCCCGGCCTCGCCGGGCGGAACTGCACACAGGCGCCACCTCCCCTCCTTCCTGGTCTCGGAGGGAACAGCTGTCACATTTCGTATTAAGTAGGACGTTGGCTCTGGGTCTCTCTAGACACCGTTTTTTCCTGATAACGCGTGTTCCCTTCTGGTCTCTCAACTGTCTTGTCACAGATGAACACTGACGGGGACAGACGTGTCTTTCCCTTGCTGGGACACAGTATACCCACTGAAGAGTCAACATTGCATCCATCTTGCCTTTCTGGACAAAATGAACTTGATGTTTCTTCTTTTTTTGGATGTGGGCCACCACAGCATGGCCCCTCCCAGAGGAGCGCTGTAGGTCTGCACCTGGGAACTGAGCCCGGGCCACCAAAGCGGAGAGCGCCAAACTCCACCACAAGGCCACCAGGGCTGGTCCTGAACCTGATTTTGACTCATGCTGTTTATGCGCTTATGTGTTAGATTTCTTTTAAAAAGCCTTTCACCTGTATATGTGTAGATGTCGTCGTCTGTGAATATTGTTAGGATTGTCCCTTTCTGGTCTTGGTAACTCTCTGCAGTTTCTACAATGTGGAGTCGCCGATTGTTGAATGTTTGCTCCCTGGTCTGGGAATGGTGGGAACTTGGCATTTAGAGGGGACACCTGGGTCTACGGATAGGTTTCTTAATGCCCACAGACGTCCTCAGATGCTCTGTTCACCGCGTCATCTCAGGGACGTTTACCGATTCCTTACACTTGTCCCATTGCGTCTAATCCGAAGGATCTTTTCCCACGAGTGGTTTGTAACATCTTGGCAATCTGCTGAATCTCGGAAACATCTGCAACTTTCTTCCTTTTCCACAATTTCTTTTATTTGCCCAAGTTCTATTTTTTTTTAAAATAAAATTGCCATTGGTTGAAGAAGGGTGTGTGTTTAGCGTGTTGAATGTATTTTTAAGCAACTGTAATTGAGATAGTTTACATACCACAAAGTTTATTTAAAGGGTATCTCAGTAGTCTAATTTTAGAACATTTTTGTCACCCCAAAAGAAAACTTGTATGTGCCAGCAGTCACTCCGCGTTCCAGTCCAGCCCGTCCTGGGTTCTGGACAATTTATTACTTTCCTTTCCACCTCTATAGATTGGGCTATCTGTACATTTCACGTACATGACGTCGTGCTCTGTGTGGACTTTTCCAAAGCCCCTTCACGTTATTCAGGTTCATAGATTGGTGCCATGGGCCAGTACTTCGTTCCTCCTATTGCGACATCGTGCTCCATTGTAAGAATATTCCACATGTTGCTTCTCCAAATCACTTGACGGACTGTTGAGCTGTTGCCACATTTTGTCTGTTATGACTCGTGCTGCTGCGAATATCTGTGTATCAGTTTTTGTGTTGATGTTTGTTGTCGCTTCTCTTGGGGAGATGGATACCTAGCATGGAATTGCTGTGTGATGTGGTAGCTCTGTGTTCATCCCTGAGGACCCGCCAGACTGTCTTCCCAAGTGGCTGCACCATTTACGTTCCCATCAGCAATGGACGAGCTTCCACCGTCCTCACATCCCGCCAGCGCTTGTTTGTCCATCTTACAGCCATCCTGGAGGGCGTGGGGAGGGCCTGCTTGTGGTTTTCATTTGCATTTCCCTGGTGAGTGATGTCTGGCATCTGTTCGGGGTTAGTGGCCACTTGTATTTCTTAGCAGAAACGTCGGCTCACATTCTTTGCCCGTTATTTAATTGTATTATTTGTCTTTATATTGTTCTCTTTTATTTTTTGTTGTTGTCATCCGAGTTTCTTAAATACAGTGAGAACACGAGTCTCCTATCAGGTGTGTGGTTGGCAGACCCCAGTTGCTGTCCCAGGTGACATGGCCTCATTGTCTCTGTAGCTGATGTAGTTAGGATTTTCTTTAGATTTTGAGAACATATATATATATATATTTTTTTTTTTTGCTTTTTCTCCCCAAATCCTCCCAGTACATACTTGTATATTTTAGTTGTGGGTCCTTCTAGTTGTGGCATAAGAACATATATTTTGTTTTAAAAAGATCTCTAAATTTCACTTCATCATGGTTTGCTTGTTATTCCATGAATGTGGTGTCACCACATATTGTTGTAAAGATATTAATTAGGTTTATTTTTCCTCTTTAAAGACACCTTTGGCTCTGTTGGCTTCAGATCTTTCAGAGACTCCTTTGTTGGGTCATTTTCTTCGCATTCCGAGCGAAGATTCTTTCTTGGAGAGGCCCTGCAGCTTGGGAGATTCTTCAGGAACCAGGCTCTCCTCTTACCCATCAGGCGTCCCAGGCCCTGGCCCACGTCTACGCCCACAGCGTCCACCTCACCCGGTGAGGGGTCATGTCTCTGCCTTTGTCAGACGTGAGGAGATCACACCAGGGTCCTCAACACTGTTGCCTCCAAGGAGAGAGTGTTCAGCTCAAGCCGCACTGTACGTCTCAGGTTTCAGAACATCCTGACATTCTGGTTCCAGTTCTGGAGCTGACAAGGACGTAACTTGTGATCAATCCACGTACCCATTTCCACGTTCTCTGAAAGGTGATTGCACTTTTCAGTCTTCACCTTACCTCAGAGTCTGCTCTGTCTCAGGAAATACTCTCATAACCATGGGTGTGGATGCGTCAACATCAGTTGTTGTGGGCACACTTTGCTGCAGCTTCCCAAGCACTTAGCACCACTGAGCAGACTGCATTTGAGTTGCTCGTTCATTCTCATTTCCCATGAGAGTGAGAGCTCAGGAGTCCTAGGAGTTGAGTCCAGGTCCCCGGCTGTCACCCTCCCACACCCCTTGGTGCAGACGGGGCCTGGCTGAAGTAGAACGTGTGGGCTGTTTCAGGCCTCGCTGGTCTTTGAGGACGTGGCTGTGAACTTCACCCCGGAGGAGTGGGCTCTGCTGGATGGTGCTCAGAGGAAGCTCTACAGAGACGTGATGCTGGAGACCTGCAGGAACCTGGCCTCTGTGGGTGAGGACGGCTTCACGCCTTCACTGAGTCTGGGAGGGAACAGGTGTTTCTTGCACTTGTTCTTTCTTATTGGAGGCAGGAAATGGGAACATGTTGGAAAAAAGAGAGACACAGTCCAAGCCTCCATGGAACCACCTAGAGTCCAATAGCTTGTCCAGGAAAACCAAGTTTCATGGATTAAATGGACTTTTTATTTCTTTTGAACAAAAATCCCCCTAATTTTCTAGGTGTGAGCATCGGCTCCGGTGTCCCTTTGGGGCAGTGAGGGCAGCTTTATGGTTTCCACCCCTGTGCCAGTTACACTGGTTAATACACAGGTGACATGGTGGTTTTGCTGTAACTAACCCCACACTCATCCATCCTCACTGGCCTTGAGGACCAAAGTATGGCCCCGTCTCATGGGCTGTTTGTTCCCCTCCGTCCTCTTTCTCGGTCAGCTCTTCCCCGTGAGCCGTCAGCAGCCGCACACACCATCCATCTCCCATGGCAGCTGGGGCAGTGGACACAGGCTCCATCTGGGTCCGTGTGCCTGTGCACACCAGGGGAGCAGCCACCCTCGGGAGGAACAGGCTCTGGAGGAGGGAATGATGTCTGGACACGTCCAGTAGACACATCACTCTGTCACTGTTTGAGACGGGTGATGTTGGTCACTTACCTGGCTTCCCTGCTGACTTTTCATCCCTTCTCTCTCCCTGGGGAAGACCTTCTGTATTTCCTCTTATAAAGGGAGCATTTGGGCGTCTGCCTTTGCCCAATTCCTTCATACTTTGCTCTTCTGATGATATTTATTTCCACATCCCTCTCCATCTCTTTTGGAGTTTGCTTAGTGAACAAGCTGCCATTTTGACTAATTCTCCTACTCTTGCCAGGTCCCAGATAGTTGAGGTCATGAGAGTTGCTCTCTGTTCACACGTCCATTCTTTCTCATAAGATTTGATTACATTGTTGGATCAATATATGAAATGAAATCCACATATCATCTGTTTTTCTCCCTTTATCCTCCCACTTTTTTCCCAAGAAATTAACTCATGCTACTGATTGTTGCAGATTATTGCACTCAAGAAAGAACAGGTGGATCAATTTCTCAGTGGGACATTTTGGAGAATGAAGTATTCAGTGAAGAGAAAATAGTAAGATTCACAAGAAATGATTCCTGGTCTGTTTTTGGAGAAAACTGTAAATTTCAAAGCATTGGAGATCAGCACCCAGCCCAGGAGAGGCCTGTGAGGTGAGTGGCATTCCCACAGGAGGAAGGGGTCTCGGCAGAGGGCTAGACTCACTTGAAATTAAAGAAAAAGTAGAACTCTAGCTAAACAATTGTGTCCTGAGGGAATTTTCACATGACAAGATTTTCATAAATATGATGCAGATATCGACTCTCTCAAACAAATTAGTTGAAAACAATGATCAGGAAACCTCCTATGTAATAAATTCTGAAAGTTATAGCTACATTTGATCCCTCAGCCGAGCATTAAGCCTGTTTTACTTTGTAACAATGCAGACAGTGCCAAAAACATCCCCATTCATTGAAAATGACAAATACATAGTCAAAATGATCAACGACCATCAATAAATCATTCATAAAGAAATCACTTATAACCATCAATCCTTCACCGTGTGCTTCCTATTTTGAACAGGAGCCATTGGGTGGAGAGTCTCCATGGAAGTAATGAAGGTGATGGCTGTGGAGAAACCCTGAACCAGATTACAGACCTTCCTGTGCCTGAGAGGTGTCCGACCGGAGTTAAACCCGGTGAATGCACGAAGTGTGGAAAAGCCCTCACAGATTGTTCTCTCCTTAAGAATCGGCAACGATCTCACATTGGACACAAACATTATCCATGTGAGGAATGTGGGCAGGCCTGCAGTTGTGTCTCATGCCTAAGCACTCATATGGAAACATACTTTGTAGAGAAACCCTATAAATGTCAGGATACCGGGAGAGCATCTAAGAGATTCATGAAGAGTCTGGGTAGTAACAAGTCTTTCGAGTGTAAGAAATGTGGAAAAACTTTCACTTGCCCCTCCTCCTTTCAGGGACATCTGAGAGTTCACTCTAGAAAGAAAATCCACACATGTAAAGTGTGTGGGAAATCCTTTATGTATGACTCGTACCTGACACGACATTTGAGAACCCACACTGGAGAGAAACCCTATGCATGTCAGGAGTGTGGGAAGGCCTTCAGTTACCCTGCATCCCTGCAAGGACACATGAGGATGCACAGTGGAGAGAGACCTTATGTGTGTAAGGAATGTGGGAAAGCCTTCGGTTGTGCCAAATACTTTACTGTGCACATGAAAACGCACAGTGGAGTGAAACCCTATGAATGTACGGAATGTGGGAAAGCCTACAGCTGTTCCTCCTCCCTCCGAGAACACGTGCGAATGCACAGTGAAGAGAAACCCTATGAATGTAAGGAGTGTGGGAAAGCCTTCAGGCATCCTCGATATTTTCAGAGACATGTGCGAATGCACAGCGGAGTGAAACGTCACGAGTGTAAGGAATGTGGGAAAGCTTACAGTTGCTCCTCGTCCCTTCGAGAACATTCAAGAACCCACACTGGGGAGAGACCCTTTGAGTGTCAGCAGTGTGGGAAAGCTTTCACTCGTCACTCCTCCCTTCGAGGACACGTGAGAACGCACGGTGGGGAGAGAGCCTATGAATGTTCACACTGTGGGAAAGCCTTCCGTTGGCCCTCGTCCTTACAGAAACATGTGAGAACACACAATGAGGAGAAGCCCTATGCGTGCCAGCAGTGTGGCAGAGCCTTTTGGTACCCAGCAAACCTGCGAGCACACATGAGAACGCACACCAGGGGGAAGCCCTATGAGTGTCAGCACTGTGGGAAAACCTTCAGGCACCCTGCAAACCTGCGAGTGCATGTGAGAACACACACTGGGGCGAGACCATGAAGATAAAGACTATGGGAAAGCCTTCATTCTCCCTTAAAGCCTTGTAACAAACACACTGGAGAGAGATGAATGGAAAGATCGTTGGGAAACCTTAACTGCAGCACCTCACTCATTTTGTACTGGAAAACTTGGGGCAGGACAGAAGTCTTTCAATTGTTAAAAATATGTTTTTTCTTTGTAAGGTCTCATCTTTAATAGGATTCCCACTGTATTGATTTCTAGTTCATGTTACTGATATAAAATACTGAATAATATTCCTTTAGGACCCCATCATCTGTACTACATGTATTTTGTTATCTCAGACTTTAAATATCTGTATAGTTCTATAAAAGTTGTCTCATTTCCATTACCATGTGTTTTGGACCCAAGGGTGCTAAGTGGTTGTGGTTTTTTGTTTTTTATTCATGTGTAACTTGATAGAATGTTAGAGAAAATTATGTGATCATGGTATGAGACCTGTATTGCTGAAATTTCTTTTCTGGTCCAGTGCTGCACATACCAGAATTTTCTGACTCGATATCTACCCTCCCTCAGTCTTTATTATTGAAAGATGTATCTTCCACATTTGTTTATTGCTGATGGATACCACCTCTGTGTTCCTCAGAGGAACTAGCAATTGTGGAAATATGTGGGAAGACGACAGTCCCACCTGATGATGTTCATAATTTGACCTGTGGTCAGTGTCCTCCATCTTGGTTGGAAATTGTCACGATGCTTTGAGTTCAGAAGAGAGACTTGTGGCATGAAGATGGAGCTGGAGTCCAGAGGCTTCTACTGAACTGCGCTGTCACCTTGGGGAAGGTGGGAAACCGTGTGTCCCAGAGTCCTTCTGTGTGTGGCTCTGAGTTAAAGTTCACGAGCAGAGGAAGACACATGAGGTTTGGAAAGCAGAAGTGGAGAAGCCATGATTCTCAGTTCTCCTGTCCCATCAGGAGACAGAGGTGCATGGGACCCTAGGAGGCCTGCGTCACAGCACACTTTTCTGACTTCTGGCTCTGCCCATCTGGAACAGCCCCAACCAAACACCATGTTTGATGTTGGTTCCATCTTAGGCAGCAGGTTCCACAGACTTTCCCACAAGCTCCCCCATGGTGGACCCTCTGGTTTGCTGGTTCACACGGTTCCTTGCATTTTCCTTCAGCCCTTTGGTGACTATCAGGCCACTTCTTCAGGGTCTCACACTTAGTGACCTTCTCTCACCCTTGACCCCCTGCATCTCCAATGCTTCTCCTAATGACTTGAATTCTGTAGGGAGAATCTTGTTCTCTACTAGTGGATCTGTTTCCTGCCTCCACCCTCACAGATTTAATGCTGCAGCCACAAATGCAGGAAACTTCCCTCCCAGGTTGCATTGTTGAGAGGCTGCAATAATCCTGCATTTCTTGTTTATGGATATTTCCCTGATTAAAAGCAGCAGTTGTGAATGTATCTGGCACTTTATGAGAGTTTTCTCTTACAGCTGAGTGCTCTCTACATGATAAAACCAGTATGTTTAGTTACTTTCTACTTTTATATGTGATTACCCAGTGTTCTTTCATTTTTTTGTGTCATTCAAAACAATGTACATTTTTTGGTCAAATATAGTTCTCTAGATTTTTTCTTGGGAAGCACGCATTACTTTGTTTTTCAAATCTCTTGTATACTTACAAGTGTTACGATGTTTTATGTTCCATTAACTGAGAGTATATGTTAAAATATCCCATTCTAGAGGATTAACTTATTCTTGTAATTGTGTCAATTTTTCTATGTATATTTTGGGATAATATTAACAATGTATATACGTTTTCACATTTCTCTTTCTGGTCTGTTTTTCATTAATTCCTATGCTGCTACCATCATTTTCATTCAAGTGTCTTATTCATTCCTAATAATGAAAATGTAAGTGTTGCACATGTCAGTGGTCTCCAGCCAGAGATCCCCAGGACTCAGGCTCCTGCAGATGAGCAGTGTGGGAGGCAGAACTGGACACACATCTTCCCTAGTTCTCTGTGGACAAGTAGAACCACCAGAGTTCTTGGTGAGGTGAGCACTGAGTTGCGGTGGGAATGAGTTAGGAGAGGGAGCTCCAGTTTACAGACATAACCAACTTGAGTGAACTACTCATTCCTGGAAATGCTGCTTCTAAATGTTTGTTCTCCACAGAGCTCTCAGTGGTTTCATGGAAAATCAATACTGCAATGGAAACTCTTCTCCCTGTCTGTCGTCTTGTTACAAGTAACTGTGCTGATTGTCCCTAGGACGTTTCTCCCTATAACAAGTGAGTAATTGCTGGTGCTCCTGCCCAGGGATGTTCCCTTGTGTTATTTCCACTGGTTGACGCTCATGGTTCTGTTGCTCTGCCCCTGTTGACAAAGGTCAGTTTCTACCTCTGTGTCAGATGGCCTCCAGGGATCCTTCTCTGGCCCTGGCCATGGTGGATGTCTTATATTTTGGGTGGACCTTGTAGGGGTTCATGTCTCAGAGGATGTGTAAGGTGACTAGGCCCCCAGGGACTTAGAGAAGAAACGATCAGTAAAGGTGTCTGTACAGCCTTTCCAGAGAGGAAGCCTGTACCTAAGGGATTCCAACCCTTGTCAGGATGGACTCTCCTCTCTGGTGTCATCGACTCATCAGTCAATATGACCAGTGTTATGGGGACCCCAACACACTGAAAATGCTCGGTATAGCTGCACTGACCTGTACCAGCATGGAAGGTGTGGGTCACAACCACTCTGTGTGTTTTCTCCACCAGTGGAAAGAGCCCATCCTTGACATTTTCCATGAGACTTTTGCTTTTTCATATCAGAAGCATGAAATTCTAATTCCAAACATTTTTACAAATAATTACCCTTCTAAATACCCAGAGAGTGTTTTCCTTGTGAAGTTGTGGTCCTCTCGTTTCCAGTGCCCATAGAATTTGAAGTTTGGAGGGACGCCTACTGAATGCTATTTGGAGTTGTGATGCTGCACCTGTCCTGTCGGCTTCTAGGGGATGACCAGTCACAAGGGGTATAGGGAGGGTCAGGGAGATATTTTATCATACTCAGGTCCTAGAGAGTCACTGCAGCCCAAGAATGGGTGATAGGGGAGCATCAAGGAAATGGTCGTGACCAAGCAGGTGGGGGGCGGAGAGCACGAGGACCCAGGGGCAAGGGCCTGCAGGACATAGATTAGCGTAGAGAATAAGAGTCTGTTTTGAGCCTCGAGTGTGTAGCTGTGATGGATGCTCAACATTTAGCACCCGACGAAGATGGACTGTGAGAAAGGAAGGCCACGTTTGAGTCATGATCCTCGGTTGGTCCCTTCTTATCTGTGGCCTCTGGTAAGTCACCTCCATCAAAGCCTCAGTGAACTCATCCAAGGAGATAAACGTGTCTGCCTTACAGAGTTTGCTGAGGAGGAGCTAGATTTATATGATAACTTAGTCACTTTACAAAAAACACTTAAAACAGTGCCACATACATAGTGAGAAATACGTCAGCGTTCACATAGTCAGTGAGAAAGGCAGAGGCAGCCCCAGACATCTGGAAGCTGGCCTGACACTGCTGGGCTGGGACTTACGTTGAGCAGAAACAATTTCACCAGCCCCGTCGTCAGATGAGGCAAATCCGTGACTGCAATGTGTCAAGACAAAAGGAAGAGCAGGTTATAATCACGTCCACAAAAATGCAATCAATGGAACAGAAGCCAAACCACACTATTGACCAAATTTTCCCGCTTCTTGCTATTGTGACCCCTGCCTCTTTACCAACTAGTGTTAGCTACACGCCATCCTTTCTGATTTCTAGACAAGAACTGTTAAGATCTCCAATCATAAAGTTACATTTACCTCCTGACAGCATCGAATCAGAGCAAAGGAACTCTTGCTGGAACACTTACTCAAGTCACCTCACACAAGTCTGAATGTTTGATATATTCTTGTCCAAATATGTCCTCATGTCACATGTGTCATATGCCCCTCCTACTGACACTCCCACAGTCCTGCACGGTGTGTGCACCCCCAGTGCTCTAAGTCAGTGCACCCCACTTTCTGTGACTACAGGTGTGATCCTGGAGGTCTTTGGCTAGAGAGCAGTGGCCCAATCACTATTTTACTCTCCTTATTGTATTACAAGTTAATTTAATGACAGAAGTTTAAAGTATATAGGAGTAAATGTTTACCTGAAAGAAAAAATTCTCTAAACTCGTATGCACGTGGTACTGTGGACTAAGAATGCATAAGAATACTAAGAATTCTCAAGTTGAGAAAATTGCAAGGCTGATTGGACAACCCATAAATGCAGACATTTTAACATAATCTCTCAGCCAAGGAAAAGCACACAGTGACATTTGTTAATATACAACTGATTTGAAAACACCACTGAAGACTTTCCTGGGAAACGTGTGGAATCTTCTGAGTACACAAGTGTTTTACTCACACATAAATATGATAACTGAACACATCCTGAGGGCCTGCTCTCAGCCCCGAGTTCAGGACACTCCCACCATGTCCCTGACACATGAGGAAGGTGCTCACTTCTCACGCGGAAGGACAGGCAGTGCAGCCACTCAACGGTGCAGCAGGGAAACAAGCCCCTGTTTTCTTTGGCTGCACTGCTGTGTCTGTCGTGGAATTAGACCCCAGATCTTCTCAACATAAAGGGAATGGGTGTTCACTGTACAAGTAACATCTGGTACAAATAAGGCAAGATCCAGAGCAGAGGGGAGTCAGCGTCAGTCAAGCTCAACCACCGTGACAGCCTCCATCAGGGGCCTGGAGGGCACACCGGGGCTTTGCACAGCCCAGACCTGTGGGTCTCTGACCCTAGAGTCTGATCCACAATGGCAGAGAACAGGAGCACATGTGTGGAGGCCAGGGCCTCTAAGAAAATGGAAAGGGGAATTTGGTGTTTAGTTTGACTTGACTGGACCGGTGATCAGAAAAATAAGCTGGAAGCTGTTGCCCGTCAAGCCACTATGCATTGCTCCATCCGTATGGTGGCTCCAAACCCTGAGAGTAATGGCTGCTTCATGTGTACCTTCCAGTTGTGACATGAGTTAAGGAATTGGTGAATTCTAACCCAGAATCATAAAGACAGGGATTCTGGGACATATACCTCCATGCCTTACCAACAATGAAATGACACCATTCAGCAGAACCTCATCAACCTGTAGATTTCATTGACCTTTCATCAAACATGGGAAAAGTAGCACAGTGAGGGGATGAGAGGGAGATGGATAAGATGGATAGGGAGATTGCATGTGTATATGGGAATAATAAAGCAGAACCGTAAGATAAATATTTCATGTAACACTGGACATCAATACCTAAATTATAAAATATATACAAGCACATAGAAACACATACACTGGGTTCAGGAGTCTGCCCCCGAATTTCATGTCTACCTGGAACCTCAGAATACAACCTTATTTGGAATAAGGTCTTTGCAGATGTAATTGTTACAGAATGCAAACACAGGTCTGTTACCCGATGAGCAGGAAAGCCAATAACTGAAATATCAGGCTTCTAGCAAGGAAAGAGGTTTATTATCAAAAGAGCCAGATGAGGAGATAGGAGTTAAAGCTCCAATCTACCTCCTGGAAGGGAAAAAGGTAGGGGTTTTTATTTGGGGTTTTAGGAAGAGGAGGGGGCTGTGGGCTGGCGTTGTAGGTGGGGGATGGGGAGCAGGTAGCCTTGCTGGCTGGCCTCAGCCTGTGTTTGGTCTTGAAGGTTGAATCTTTCTTTCCTCAACCATCTGGACTTTTCTGGTTAGTTTTCATCCTCTGCCAACATTCGGCTTTGCGAGGCTGAATCTCCTTTCTTCTTGATGTCTGGACCTTGACTTCTTGGGGAAAATAGCTCACTCACGTGCTAAGGAGGGACACAAAGACCGGGTTAGTTTTAAACAGCTGATTATGCTGAGTCTGCACAGCTGCAGTTAGCAGAGCTTAGCTCAGATTTTTCCTCTTTTAGATCATTCATTCTTGGTTTCATAATCAAGATGAGGTCACAGTGGATTGTATTAGGTCCTAGTATCCTTAGAAAAAGGGGGAAATTTGGACACAGGGCTGCACAGAAGACGGATATGTCTTCACCGTGTGAAGACAGAGGCAGAGATTGGCGTGACCTGCCTACAGTCAAGGAAGGTAAAGGATTGTTGGCAACCACCAGAAGCTGCGAGTGGCTGGAACAGATGCTCCCTCTGAACCTCCAGAGGGAGAGGGAGCCAACCTGCTGACAACCTGATTTCAGAATGCCACCTCCAGAACCCTGAGGGCATCACTTCCTGTTGTTTCAGCCCCACCCCCGCTCTGTGGACTTTGTTCTGAGCAGACCAGTGCCGTTCCTAAGGAGGGCGTGGGCCTTGCATATTAGGAGGAGAGCCAGAGGCCAGTGAGCCTGGAGCAGAGAGAGGAGGAGAACGGCAGAGGAGTGTGATGGGGTGGTGCTCACATCGTGTCATGATTCACTGGCCACAGGAGACTGACGCTGGTTGTGAGTGACTTGGATGCCGGGGTCCAGCCTCAGCAGAGTCCAGGTTCCCGCAGGAGAGACGGCGTTGGCGAAAAACGGGGGAGGGGAAAATAAAGAGGACGTGAGACTTGGGTTGGTGTTAGCAAGTCCAACTTTACTGTGCACAAGTGTCGTTTATATATTTTTCAGGATTAGTACAGAAATGGTTCTACAAATATTCTCAGATAAGGAAGTAAAAAAAAATGAGCACAAGAATATTTATTAGCATTCTATTCTATAGAGCATAAGGTTAATGATCGTCTTCTCCGCAACTAATTAGTGTTTGTTGTCTCTAAGCTAAAAGAGATAGGTACCTAGACACCTGTTGTAATTCATGGTAAAGTTAAATCAAAGAGAGAAGGTCCAGGCCTCCGGACAGGACAGCATTCCATCTGTTTACATCCTGGGTGAGCCATCCCTGCCTCCCTCAATCATTTACGACATTAGTGTAGATGGTTAATGGGAACAGAAGGCGACTCCAGGGTGTCTTATCCCCAGGGCTATCCGCATTCTCAGCAGGCAGTTAAACATCTTTACATTTTCGCGCCCTTTAGCGGGTGAAAGCATTCCTTTGTCTTTTAGATTGTGGAGCTAACAGTCCCTTAAACACACTGCAGGAGAAAGTACCATTTTGTTAGTAAAGTAAAGGGCTGAAAAGCTAAGCTAAACTATATATCTTCAAGAATAAAAAACAGAAATAAGTATAGACATAACCTTGATAGAAAGCATGCATATAATTCAGAAAATATCAGGGGTGTCGGCCGGCCATTCTTCACCGAGGGGCATCCCTGCACCCCTCGGCCCTTCTCCTCATCAATTGTTTATTATTTATTGCTTTTAGGAGAAAACCTCTATAACATTTTAACAGAAAGCAGAAGGTCAAGAATAATATGTAGATACTTCTTGATCATCCAATTAACCAGCAAACTTAGAAGGACGATGCATATATATATTTAGACAAAGAACTGGAGGGAGAAGGAAGCATTAACCAGACAGAGGCCATAAACCTAATTCGACATCTTATCTGGGCAGATTCCTTTCTGCTTGTCTCAAAAGGGACTGTGTGCTCCTCCGTTAATTAACTGAAAAATATCTTGAAAGTTACCTGCAGGTGGTCACATTCTCTTACTATATCTAATTTTCCCGGGAGGTAGTGCCTCCCAAGCAGCCACCCAAAGGAGTGAAAACTGGAGGTTAAAAAAGGAAAAGGAATGAAGGGCAATTAGAAGCAGCACAGGTTTCAGAACTGTGTGAGGGGCCGGCCAGTTCTTCACCAAGGGGCGACCCTGCACCCCTAGGCATTAATCGGCTGGACCCTGTCAAACAGCCGATCAAATGATGTAGCCACGGCTCCCGGCACTTGGAGCCTACAAATGGCCTGATGAGGCAGCTTCACCGGATCCCTCTGTACCTTGAGAACAGACACGGGGATGATGCTGCCATTCAAGGTGCGGGTCAGACTGGGCTGGTACCTGTGACAGTGATGTGCCAGGTTGGAGCCCTGATATAATCTGAAGTTAGAGCCATCAGAATTTCTTGATGGCTTGAAGGTGGGGTGAGAGGAAGGGTGAGGGGTGACTCCATTGTTCAGAAAAAACTGGCATGATGGAGTTGCCATCAGCTATATGTGGGTCATCACCCATGGAGAAGGAATTTGGTGGAGTGTGAGGAGTTCAACTTGGAGCCCGTCAAGATGGAGATGAGACGAGGACAAACCAAGGCAGAAGAGAAATTTATAAGGATGTCACTAGATTTTACTACAACTTACAAACTTACTACAAATTTTAAAGAATGTCATTAGAAACATTGGTTTTAATAGCAATAGCAGCCAAAAGAGCTGGCTGCCAGCAGTGGAAGGAGGACACTTAAATGGTGTTGTCCTACAGGGTAACAATGCATGAATGAAGTGAACGAAGTGTGAAGGTATGGAAGATTAAACACTCTTGAACAAAAGACATTTGGTATAAAATGGTACATACTGTTTGATTCTATTTACATGCCATATAAAGCAGGTGACATTGTGTACATAGGTGATGAAACTATAAAGAAACAAAAGGAAATCATCTTTTAAACGTTTGGGATGTTGGTCGCTGTGAGAGGACAGGGTGGGGTCTCTGATGGGCCCTCAACCTGAGTGGGATGTGGCTGGGACGGCAGCCTCTCCATCTTGTCCAGGTTGTGAAGTCATCAATATTTACTCTGTAATGTTTCAGTCAAATGTACGTTTTATGCATCTTTCTGCAGGGGTATTTTACAGTAAAATGTTAGGATATCGGCTAATATAACTCAGTACGACACCACGTTGAAAAAAATTATCTCAAATTATCTCAACAGATGGAGGAAAAGCATTTTATAAATGTCAACATTCACCCATGCAAATATTTAGTAATTTAGGAATAGATGAGAACTTTCACCACCTTTTCAAGGGCATCTTCAAGAACATGTTTATGAAAGAACGCATGTGCAAGTGGTCAAAATTCACTCGTTCAATAATATTATGTACAAAACAAGAATGCCCCGGCCCCAGCCCCCTTTAGCATAGACTATTCATCCAGCCAGTGCCACGAGGAACAGGGGTACACATTAGAAAGGAGGAAAAAGTCACTTGTGCCATAGCTGGAACCACTGCGTGTTTACAACCTCCAAAGCATCTAAGGGGAAGCAGAGAAAAAAGATGATCGACAGCTTGTCAGGATGCGAACCCAATAGAAACATAAACGTCATTCCATTTCTAATCACTGTCGAGAAGAAGTTGACTAATTTGAAAGACAACGTGTACGAAAGCACAAAGAAGTTATTCAAGTACCAAACAAGCCTAATGAAGGCTATACGGAGAAGGGAGCATAAAAATTGTAAAATTAGACTGAATGACATGAAAGGAGGCTCAAAGAAATGCAAACATGGAGCAGGTTCCACGAAAGGAGAGAGCAGTGTCAACACGGTGTCCGTATTTAATAGATGTATCGTTTTCACAAAATCCTGTTACTACTACAGTTCTTAGAAAGGCCAGAAACCTTCTAAGTTTTATAAATAAGAACAAATGTTCAGTGACAGCCGTGCTGTTCTGAAGAACGAAGGGGAGGGGCCCTAAAAGGACCAAGCATTAAAACCTGCTGTGCCGGGAGCATCATTGTGAAAGCACAGAAGTATAGTGGGAGCACGTTCACGGAGGCAAGGACCATTATCACTGGAAATGGAAACTGTTACTTTCAACTTCATGGCCTTTCATGTTAACACATTGTCCAGGGACACGCGATTTCTCAGAAGCGTCTTCCCAGGTGCAGGACTTGAAAGTGGCTCTGCTGAGAAGCCCCCCGCCCCCCAGCAGACTGTCCTGGGGACCCAGTGAGGGAAGGAAACACAGGGACAAACCTTCACGAACTTGGACTTGTTAATGATTTCTTAAACATCACACCAAAAGCAAAAGCAACACAAGGAAAAAACAGATCAATTGGACTTCTTCAAAATTAAAATCCTTTGTGCATCGAAGGACACTACACAGAGAGTAAAAGGACACCCCACAGAATGGGAAAGTCATATATGTGGTAAGGTTTTGTTTTCCAAAATACATAAATAACCCTGACATCCTCACAACAAAAATGCCAACAGCTCAGTTAAAAAATGGGCCGCGGACTTGAATTGACACTTCTCCAAAGAAGATAGACAAATGGCCAATAAACTCTTGAAAAGATTCTTGGCATACGAGTGCTCAGAGAAATGCAAATCAAAACCACCAGGAGATACCACTTCACACCCATGAGGAAGGCTAGAATAAAAAAATCAGGTAACTGGGGCCGGCCCCTGGGGCACAGTGGTCAAGTTTGCATGTTCCACTTCTCAGTGGCCCAGGGTTCGCAGGTTCGGATCCCGGGTGTGGACATGGCACCGCTTGGCAAGCCATGCTGTGGTAGGCATCCCACATGTAAATAGAGGAAGATGGGCACGGATGTTAGCTCAGGGCCAGGCTTCCTCAGCAAAAAAGAGGAGGATTGGCAGCACTTAGCTCAGGGCTAATCTTCCTCAAAAATAAAAGAAAAATCAGGTAACCACTGTTGCCAAGGATGTGTGGAAATTGGAACTCTTCTACTCGGCAGGTAGGAGTGTAAAATGGTGCAGCCACTGTGGAAAAGAGTTTAGTGGGTCCTCAAAAAGTTAAACATAGAATTTCCATATGACCCAACTATCCACTCCCACCTATGTTGAAACAGGCACTCACATTATACATGAGTGTAGCGTGCATCACTGTTCAAAACAGCCACAAGGTGGAAACGTCCCAATGTCCATCAAGGGCTCAATGGAAGAACAAAGTGTAGCACATACAAAGGATGGAATATTATTCAGCCATGAAAAGGAGTGAAGCGCTGCCACATGCTGCCCCATGGATGAACCTTGAAAACATTATGCTGTGTGAAAGAAGCCAGACACAACAGGCCACAGAGGGTATGATTCCATTGATATGAAATAGCCAGAACAGGCAAATCCATAGAGACAGAACGCATTCTGGTGGTGGCCAGGAGGTAGGGTTATCACGGATATTATGGCCTTTAGATTTGTTTTTAGAAATGGAGAAATACACATACGATAATGTTCACAATTTTAAGTATAAAACTCAGTGATTTTTTGTACTTACACAAATCTGTGCAACATCACATTGTGAAAGCTGACCTGTGTGGAGTCACAGTGAAACAGCAGGAAGAGTCATGTCAGAGGAATTGCCTTGTATGGCTTGTTTTCTGTATCTTCAAAGTGGCCCAAACCATCACCGTTCCAAGAAGTCAGGAAGGACGAGAATACCGTGTCTGTAGGGGCTGATGAACTGGGCTTTGCTGTTGACCGAATCTCAGGCCAATCTATGAAGCAGAAACCCAGCCTTGCTCATCCAGCGCCAATGAACTCGTCTTCACTACAACTCACCTCGTCTTCCTCCCTTTTTCCCATAAAAACCCTGAGCCCGTGTCCTGTGCTCGGGACACAATTTGGGTTTCTACCTGAATCTGTGCTCCCTGAATTACAATTCTTTGATCCCCAAATAAACGCCTCTCTGCCTCTCATTTTGACTCTTGATTTTTAGGTTAACACTATACAATCTGAATAAGGAAATATAGCCTTTTACATTTCAAAATCCTCTGGGGAC